AAAAAAAGTAATAAAGTAATGAAAGTAGGAAATAAATAAAATATGGTGAGAATTAAAAAGGGAAATCGGAAGCAAAGGTTTTGTTATATTGTTTTGTTTTTTCCATATTTGCATTATATTGTTTTGTTTTTTTATTTCCACATTTGGAAATAAATTATTGTGGAGATATGTCTTCATTTTTTATGTACAGATTTAATTTAATTTAATTTCATTTTAATTTTGAGACGAAAGTACTAAAAAAATTAATATATTAATGGTATTGTCTTAAAAGATTTGTAACATGATCCGATAAAAATCTAATATACTATGTATATACAATACTACATTACTATATATAAAAAATAATACTTATTAGTATTAAATATAAAAATTGTTATAAATAAGGAAATAAAATACGGATATAAAATAGTACTCGGTACATTATTGTATATACAAAATAATACTGGCTACTATATAAAAAGCGTTTTTAAAGATTTTTTATTTACATATTTGCGAATATAATGAAAGGAGTAAATAATTGAAAAAAATGGCAAAAGTTTTAAAAAAAGAAATAAGGAGATAATTCTATGAAGAATAATACACTAGAGATTCATATAAATCTTATGTGCATATATTATTATGGAAAACATTATTATTACATATGGTAATCTCGGTGCATATATTATATAATGATAATTATTTTAGAAAAAAATAATACTCCGTATATATGGAAAATACATACTATTTATAGATGGTATATTTTTATATGCACATATGATGGGGGATAACTTCATACTTGGACGATAATAAATATGATATCAATATAAATTTATAACGTAAATATGAGCCGTGCAACGATACTAGTAATATTGAACATATGTTTATAAATGAGTACCGGAGCTATTGCCTTATTTGGGATTTGAGAATAATGAATACTCGTCTTTCTCCTCTCCCTCTTATTCAGTTTTAGACGCTTCGCTGCTTAGAGCCTTAAACCTAATTACGTCCAGTCTAAGGTAATTCTTGTTTCTTTTCTCCAGATATATGAAACACAATCTCAGATTTTTCTATTATTAATGATGAATTCCAATCTGAAACACCAGATCTTCTATTAGCCTTATTTGGGTGCTTTTTAGTTCTGCGTTTTTAATATCAGGAGTATTTATTATGGCGTGCATTCGATGAATATCTGTATTTTAATTTTAAATGCTCCATTATATAAGGAGTATTGCATCAAAATATCTGCGTTTTTATCAGCTTTTTACACAGAGTCGAGGTAATGCGTGTGAATGAAGTGAGCATTTGTTGTTCAATTTGAACAAAAGGTTTAAGATTCCTTCAGAATGTGTTTGGATGATAGATTTCATGTCAAATTCTACAGTTTCTGTTCCAAATTTATGATTCTTCCATTTACAAATGATGTGGTTTTCGTAGTCATTTGCAAATCAATGATTATACTTTGTAAAGAAGTAAAGAGTATTTTGTTTAATTCCAAATTCTCAAATGTTTTGGATTTCCACACTAGGTAATTGAACCAATTCCACAGTTACAAATGAAATAACCATATCTGAACAAACCATATGGAAATTTATGATGGACGATGCATTCGTACCAACCTTTGGTGTCTGGTTGTATTCAGAAGAAGCAGCCATTCGCTTTGTTTACTACGAAGTGTATTAGAATCTACTTGGTAATCCACAAAATGAATGACTGATTGGCTTCTCAGCATGCAAAGCTTGTGTGGTTTAGTGGCGTATAGCTTGTGGTTGTGGACTTGTGGCTGAGCACGTTGTTTCAATGATTGTTTGGAAATGAAATAGGTCTTGTTTGTTGAATATTTCTAGGGTTAATTTTGCATATTCTGGTATTTAGAATAAGCCGTGGTCTGTTTGTTTGAGATATTCTAAGTACTGACTGAAATTTATTGGTGACTTTGCTCACTAGAATTTGATTTCCAGAATATCAATGATCTGATTCTCTGGAATCAGCAAAAGAATGTAGCAACTGATTCTGATTATAAGAATTAGCCAAAATCAAAATCTAGTAACTTTGTTTTGGTAGGTGATGGATATCGGTAACTTTATTTTCAGTTCTCTTTCCCTTAGGAAATAGACTCCCTAATAGAGTCTTCGTGTCGCACCCCGCACCCGCACGGTGCTTCATCCGGAGATGTGGCGTAGAACTAAGTTTTGCCTTGAGTAGTATATAATGGGTTTGCTTGGTTTGCTTTGTTTTGGTATTCAATGATCTTTAACTAATGACACTGTCTTGGCCAGAGAGTGGATTTGAATTATGCCTACATGATGTACTCCACCCGCCTAAAAAAGAAAGCCACTTTACAGTTTTCAATTGTTGACCGAAGTTATTTTTATTTCAATTTATTTTACATTGGTGTAGAAATAAAAAAGATATTATATACAGAGTATTTTAAAATTGCATCAAAAGTTCTAAAAAGCAAGTGGTAAAATGACTATATTATTTTGTTGGAAATATGTAGTTTGACTATGTGAATAGCAATTGTGCCTTTGTTTTGGGGATGAAGGGAGTACAATATACAGAGCCATGTGAATAGTAATTTGGCTTTGTTTTGGGGACAGAGGGAGTACAATCTAGAGGGTTACTTTATTTAGGAATCTCATTCTTAAACTGGCTGGCCACGAAATGTTATAGATTTTGTGTATCGGTGTTCTGTCTGTTTATTGCACCCCACTGGCATTCACTGCACTCTTCCTTTGCACTTTTTCCTAGCCTAAAAATACTCGACTTGGCACAAACAGATTGCAATAGCGAAATGGAAACTGCAATAGGAGAGGCCTCAAACAATTCCGATTCTGATCCAAAACCCCAAGTGATATATCGCTGTAAGAAATGCCGAAGAATTGTTGCTTCAGAAGAACAAGTTGTTCCTCACGAGCGCAAGGGCAGTAAAAAATGCTTTGGATGGGGCAAGAGGAGGGATGACTATGATGCTGTTGAACCCGAATGCTCATCTATTTTCGTGGAACCCATGAAGTGGATGGAAATATGTGCGTAAAGTTTTCATTGGAAATATTAGTGACCAAAATACCCTTCTTCATTCTTTTTTTGTTGAATCTTACATTTTTCTTCTTGATTTGCAGTGGAGGAAGGTCTTGTGCAAGCAAAGCTACATTGCTTGGGGTGCAAAGCGCGCTTAGGGTGCTACAATTGGGCAGGGATGCAGTGCAACTGCGGCACATGGATTAACCCTGCGTTTCAGCTGCATAAAAGCCGACTCGACCGATGCCATTGTTGAGTGAACACATTATCGTTGCATACAAATGTGAATAAATTTTGCTAGTTCGCGTTTCTTAGGATTCTCTTTGGTATCGAATCACGAGGAGGAGACTGTTTCCATTGGGTCGTACTAATTACTGACAAACCATTGCTGTTATTGCAATTTGTGTCTGAATTATGAAGTTTCGAGTAGCCATTAGATCCTCTGCTTCTTGGCCATGAATGCCAGTTTTTGTGTCTCTAGAATAAAATTTAGATGCTCTCTTTGTAAGTTTTGAAGTATGCTGTGGATGGTAGATAGCCACGAGATTCTTGACATCATCAGCAAATGTGATGCCGAACTGGTATAATTGGGTTCGTGTCCACCCGGTAGGTGTCTGATGTCATAGCGGGGGTGGTGGTGATGACGACGATGATAATATAAATTTGTTTTTAATTTTTTTTAAAAATAAATCTTGAAATTTTGGAAAAATTATCTAGGATCATCCAAACTTTTCTTATTTTTTAAAAAAATAATTTCACCGTTCAGTGTGAGGCATAACAATTTTAACTTTATCAAAATTTGTGAGTTTTGGGTCATTGTTAAACTGTTAACGGGTAGTTAATTGATGTTTGTTTTGTACAACAAAATGAAAATGGATTATTTTTATAGTTTTTTGTTTTATTTATTTTTCTTTTTTTGAAATATTCTCTTAAATTTTTAAAATGAGTTTCTACCTCCATCAATTTTTTTCTTTCTTTTTAAAGATTAGTCTTACATCATAGAAAAATTTAAAAAAAATTAGACATAAAATATAACAAAAAGAAAAAAAACAACTAAAATGACACAAAATTAATGAAATAAAAGGATAATCAACAAAAACTAATAAGAAATAAAACATTGGTAAAACTGATAAGAAATAAAACTAAACATTTACGGAGTGCTGGGTTCTATAACATATATGGAGCATTAATGTATTGCTTCCACCCGTTGGTTAAAAAAAATGAAAATAAAAATACGAAACAATAAATAAAAAACAACTTTACTTTTTTAAGCCCTAAAATGGAAATAAGAATAAAAAATAAAAAATTTATTTTCTTACTTCAATGTAATTTCATTTTAATTATTTCTTAATAAGAAAAATATTTTTTTTATCTATTTGGGGTTTTAATTAAAAAACAAATATTTTATTTCTTACTTTTAATTTTTATTTTCATATTTGACCAACTGAAAGTAGTAATACATTAGTGCTTCGTATAGTGAGTAAAATGAAAACCTATCACTTGGTATATTTTTATTTTTATTTCTTACCAATTTCGGGTTAGTTTTTATTATTGATTACCTTTTTTATTTCAAATCTTTATGAAAAAGAAATGGTGGAGGTATAAAGTCATTTTAAAATTTAAAGAAAAGTTTCAAATAAAATTTTAAAATGAAAATTCAGAAAAAATTATTCCAACTTGAATTTAATTGTGCAAGACAGACCATTTCCGTTAACCAACCATTAGCAACTTAATGACAACTCAAAACTCACAAATTTCAATAAAGTTAAAATTAACATCCATCACAGTAAAAGGTGGAAATATTTTTGAAACATTAACTAAAATTATAATTGTTCTAGATAACTTTTTCTTAAAATATTAATATCTTTAATTCAAAAATGTTTTTTTGTTTGTAATACTTACCATTGGATTGAATATTTCTACAATAGCTCACAAGTTAATGCAATTCATATGCTCAAAACATGCTAAAATTTAGTATGTTTGTTAATGCAATCAAAGATCATCATTTCCATACAACTTCCTAAGAGTCGTCGTTTGTTTAATCATGGGAAAGACAATCATAAAATGTGTCGAATTCTTGTTCCTTGATGCTGTCTAAAACATGAGCAACTACTCCAGCTCCAGCATTATGGAGCCACCCAATCTTCACCTGTTCAATCATAAATCAGAAATCAACGTCGAGATAGCTCAAAGAAACCTGTCCGAAAAAAACGAAGAGATTGACTGGTTCATATCATACACATACGTTGATGTTATTATGAGCAAAGAAGGGCAAGAATGCAGACTGGAAGTTGACGTCGACTTTCTTCCACCCCAATTGCTGCAAGCCGCATATCATTTCCTCTGTTATAACACAAGGGTATAACGGTCCAATAATTATACATACAACGGATATACAAGTAGTTTAGGCTGCGTTCCGTTTGCCAGATCAGTTTTTTTGAAGATGAGGTATGATCTGATCTGATATGATTGTATTTATATTTAAAGTTATTTCTGATCTAAACTGGTCTAATTTTATTAAGAATAAGTAAGAAAAAGTAAGTTGAATGGAACGAACCATTACAAACATATATACCTTCAAGAATTTCGTGGTATTCTAACGTGTTCTGAGCGGTGGGTTCATTTTGGGCAGCCTCCTTTGCTTTGATTGCTTCTGGGCGGAAATGAGGACCGTCGGATGAAATGGCAGGGCAATGTACAACACTGGCAACATGTTTGTAACCATCAAGAGATTGTGTAGGTACCTCAATGACTTCGGTCTTCCTTCTTATAGAGGAAGTGCGCCATCCAACAATGTCTAGGTTAAGTCAAGAAAATCTACAACAACAAGCCCAATAAAATCCACAAATGTAGGGTCTGGGGAGAGTGTGTGTACGCACATCTTACCCCTATTGGAAAGTAGAGAGACTGTTTCCAAGAGACCCTCGTCTCAAAAACAAAAAGTACGAACAAAGAAAGATACGGTCATAGCACGTGTTAGCATACACAATGCGGCTTCTAAAAGTTCTATGTAGAGTCAGGGGAGGGTATGTGTACGCACATCTTACCCCTACTAGAATATAGAAAGACTGTTTCCAAGAGACCCTCGTCTCAAAAACAAAAAGTACGGAAAAAGAAAGATACGGTCATAGCATGTGTTAGCATACACGATGCGGCTTCTGAAAGTTCCAAGTGCTGATCTGCATGGACCAACAGATAAAATAAAGTGTAAAGAGTTTTTTTTGCAGTAAAACGTTATAGATGTTAAAAACCCCATATTACTCACATAAATTTTCCATCTTCGCAATCTGATGCCATTCTTAACAGAAGAGGTGGCTTGTTAGGTTCTTCGTCTGTAAGGAAGAGCTGACTACCGGTTTTACCAGCGAAAATGGAAGCCATCGATACAGCAAGTTTTTCCAATATGGAAAGACCAAAGAGAAAAGGAAGCTGGACCATAAAGGAAAATCAACTGTCTGGATATCAGAAATTCAGAATCAACTACTCCTTGTAATCATAAGGACCAAAAGTGGGAAGACATGCATTTGTAGTGTACCAAAAGTGTAAAAATGAAAGCAGTGACAAAATTTGGGAAAAGCCCTTATATCTGTGGAACCAAAAGTGATCTTTCTTTCTTTTTTTTCCTTTTTTTTTGCAAAAAAAAAACGATTATATTTAAGGGAGAACACACCTGATTCTTGCCTCTAACGCCGAAATGTGGGGTTGCTAAGGTGATAAAACTGACTGGTTCCAGCTCAGCAATCAACCCTTTATTTGAAGGGCACGGCGGTTCTTTATTTACATCATACAAGTTACTAGATATGATCGGAGTGTAAAGAATAGCAATGGCATATCTTGCAATCAGTCCGCCTAGAGAATGTGCTAGAAACGATATCTTTTTCAGACTGCTTTTCTCATTCACAACCAGCCTGATCTGTTCACACATAGCATACATTAGTTTAAGGGTAAATCTATTTTAACACCAAAGGTTAGCAGTGCCCAGATAAAGATAATGGTTCTCTGTGAAACACATGGTGTCAAACTTTGTCTGTGTATATCATTACTTACTTCTTCTGCTAGTCGTTTTCCAGCTCCATCAATCCCAGCAAATGTTTTGGTGTAGGTGTTACAGGAACTTGCTGTGCATATTAAATCTCAGATGTAAATTCGAAGTAAATGTGTGACCTGGCCTCTTTGTGGATCAAAAGAGAAAACTTTGCATACAAATGAACTGAAGTAGATTCATTTAAATTTAAAAAATGTACGGGAAAAAAATTATTTCAGATATTTCTTCAAACTCATTTTGTTTACATGTCAAAATTTTGAAATACAGTAATTACTTTTACATTTCCCTAGCATTTTCAGTGATCCAAATTGAGCCTGAATAATTCAGTCTTATCAGATGTGAGATGTTTGAACAAAGCAATGAGGCATGTTATGCGTCAGCAAAACTAGCCAACTAGATTCTGAAATACCAGTTTCCCGTAATACGATCATAAAGTAATATGAAAATTGGTACGAAGAAATGTGAAACGTAAGGTGGGCACATTTCAATAAGGGAAATAATACCATAGATTAAATAATGTCTTCCAAGCTGCCTCTTTAGTTCTGCTTGAACATAATTCCAGTCACCCGTGCTGCATCACTTCAAACGTTTAGTGAAAACTTAAATGGAAAATGCACCAGTTTCTAATGCCTATGCAGAGACAACAATAACAACAACAACCCAGTAAGGTCCCACAAGCAGGGACTGAGTGTGGGTGCACACAAACCTAGCCCTACCTAAACAAGTAGAGAGGTAGTTTGCAAAAGACCTTTGGCTTCAAAAACCAAAGAAAACATGTTAGAAAAATCAAATAACCGGAAATAAAAGATGAACAGTAAAGGTAAAACAACTACGGGGTAAAGAACGGATGGGTAAATAATATGCCAAATTTGTTTCTAATAAAGAAGTTACCTTCCCATGATGCCGTGAACAAGGATAAGGAGATGCTCGGGTTCATATTCCACTTCAATGGTTCCGCTAGGTGAAGCAATGGCTTCTTGAGTTGTATTCATAGCCAAAGCTCTTAAGCTTAGATTTTTCCATAAACTTTTCATATCTGCATTAATAAAACACAGGCGTTAAATACGAAGGGCAAATAGGCAAAGCAGAAATTTTCTTTGTTCACAAACATTTTCAAGCACACACAGAACAAAAAACAAAAACAAAACAGCAATAAAATGGGCATTATCCAGAACAGAAAGAAATCTGGAAAGTTACACATAAAAAAACGAATAAGCGGAAAAAGAAAAGATTTTTGCAGAAAAACAACGACTTTCATAGATTTATGTGCACTTGCAGCCATAAAGCTTCAAACTTTTAGCAACAAATTTCACAGGTGCCAAAGACACCAAAAAATAAACAGAACTTCTAGCCTGAAAAGAAAACAAAATTGACATTTTAAGCAAGATATTACCAGAAAATCTGATGAATTTCAGATTAAACCCCGGGTTGAAAGAAGAGCCCAAAGAACAACAAAGCCAAGATGAACAAAGGTTAGAAAACGGGCTAATATGAGGAAAATAATGGCGCAACAATGGCGTCAATGACGCCATGGATATACACACACAAACGCACACATACTATTTCTTCAATTAAAATTTATATTATGCTCTGCATTTTTGGGTGAGGCGAATATAGGGAAACTTAACAAGGGGGGAAATGAAAAAGCAATAAAGAAAGATTGGGAAAGTCGGGGCTTTGAGATTGGTGCGCATACCGGGATACGAAAGGCGTTGAAAAAATGGAAACTTGTGAGATCTCCATCTTCATCTCCCTCGACTGGACGTGTAAATCAGGGCATTTCTGCCTCGGCGCCTGTTGAATCATGCAACACATCATCCCACTTCCTTTTATTTTTAGTCGGTTGCTTTTTATTTAATTTTAAGACAACAAACAAAAATTACTCCCCATTACTATGCTAATATTTATACATAAATAAATATTACAGAATATTATAACAATGTGATTTAACAATATTATATCTTAAAATTAACTCAAATATAATAAATTTACATTATAATTAAAGGAAAAATTACCCAAAATAATCTCAACTTTACCCGGTCTTTCAAAAATAATCACATCTTTCACTGTAATGCATAATAATCCCAACTTTATTGAAATTTGCCAGTTTTGGATCGCCGTTAAGTTTCTTACAGAAGGTTAACAAAAATGCCCATTTTAGGAAACAAAATGAAAGTTTGGATTATTTTTGATAATTTTTTTTTACGGAGTATTTTTTTTAAAAATTTTTATTTAAATTTTTTGAATTACTTTCAAGCTCCATTTCTTTTCTTTTTTAAAGATTATTCTTACCTTAGAAAAAAAATAGATATAAAAAACAATGAAAATGAAAAAAATAACTAAAACCATACAAAATTAATCAAATAAATAATGTAATCAATAGAAATTAAACAGAAACTGGAGGTAGAATAATCTATTATTTTTTTATATCTATTGTTTTTTTAAACTAAGACGAATCTTTAAAAAAGGAAAAAGAAATGATGGAGGTAGAAAGTTGATGGTGTAAATTACTTGACCGGTCAAACTATACTAGACCGGGTCTAGAATAGTTTACTTGATTTGGCAAAGTAAGAAAGGTAAAAACTCGTAGATTGACCGGGAGGACTTTAGGTGGAACACCTATAGCCCAATTTATATTATAACGGAGAATGCACGGGTGCTTTTACAAGGGAGTTCCGAGAGAAAGAATTCGGATCCCTCTTTCTGAGGTTTACATGAGTATTTATACTAGGCTAAGGGGACAGGACCACGCGCGCCCACGTGGGGGGATGCTGCTGATGTGGTGCGAGGTGACTGGTTTCGTCCTCGAGCTGCCTTGTCGCCTTGTGAGGGGGATCGTTCCCTTTGTCGAGTAGCGCCTTGGATGGATTCTTCAGCATCTCCAGTTGTCCTCTACTGACACGGGTCGCTACACGCCAAGCCCTCGCAGATCCTCTTCTGCCGACACTTTCCAACCTCAGAAACTACACCGGGTAATCTCCGAGAGGTGAATTAATCGAAGTCTGAAATAAATAGGATGATAACGTAGTTTGACCGGTATACTTTTTCGTGAAGGGTACCGGTCAAATTTTGGCCGATGATATATCGTTTTGCTGACGATTTAAGTCTCCCTTCCAAAACTTTCGAGATTGACCGGTCAAATATTTGGCCTTCTCCTTTGACCGGTCTTGGGTGAAACACACCCATCAAAAGTAATTTTAAAAATTTAAATGAAAGTTTTGGGCAATTTTAAAATTTTAAGACTTCGTATAGTGTGTAAAATGTTAAAATCCACCACTCCGTATATATTTATTTTATTTCTTACCAGTTTTTGTTTAATTTCTATTGATTATGTTATTTATTTGATTAATTTTGTATGGTTTTAGTTATTTTTTTCATTTTCATTATTTTTATATCTATTTTTTTCTTAGGTAAGAATAATCTTTAAAAAGGAAAAGAAATGGAGGTTGAAAGTAATTCAAAAAATTTAAAAAAAATTTTAAAAAAAAAACAAAACAAAAAATCATCAAAAATAATCATAGCTTTCATTTTGTTGCCTAAAACGGGCATTTCCGTTAACTCTCCGTTAGAAACTTAACGGCGATCCAAAACTGGTAAATTTCAATAAAGTTGAGATTATTATGCTTCACAGTGAAAGGTGGGATTATTTTTGAAAGATCAGGTAAAGTTGGGATTATTTTGGGTAATTTTTCCATAATTAAATTATAATATTTCATTTGCAAACTTTACCATAATTTATGAAAAAGAATATTTGTATCTAATTATAAGGGGTCGTTTCTATTGAAAGTTAAAACTCACTCCTGAGGTGGCTCAAGACATGGATTGGGTGGTCAACCACCCTGAGTCAATTTTTTGTGGGGGCCCAATTTTTCTGGTACATACACTATGAATTTGATATTTTATTATTCTTATTGACTTATTACTATAATGTTAATTATTGTTAAGAAAATGACTTATTGACTTATTATTCTGCGTCCGCCCGCCTTCCCCAGGTGTCATGATGGCGCCGCCTGACGCGGCCCAGAGGAAGCCACGTCGCCTCGCTCAATTCTTCCTCGTCTATATAAAGGCCTCCACCCCTCTCCTTTGTTCATTTTCCGCGATCAAGTCTTAGAGCTTTCACCGGTCAAGTTCCTTCTCCGCTATCCAGCCCTCCGAGTCAAGTAAGTTCCCCTTCCTTCTCTACCTTCCCGGTCATGTCTTCTCATAGTGATAGGATCTCCTCCTCAGAGGACTGCTCCTCTGAGGACTCCAACTCTTCCTCCTCGACCGGGTCTTCTTCTCTTGACTCTACGCCCGGTCAGGTTCCCAACTCCTCCATTCCCGACCCGCATCCTGTGAATCAGGTGCCCGGTGAAACTTTCGTGGGGAGGGATGACCCGGTCGATGACGAACCGGGCCCCTATGACCCCGAACACGAAACCCGGGACGGGTGGGAGGAGCGGCTTCACGCTGCCGGTTACTTTCCGCTTCCCACCTTCTATGTCCTTGACATACCTTCCCGTGTATCTAAAATTGCTTTAAACAAAATCCGTAGGAGGCTCCCGGATGGGTATACCCTCCTCTACGAACCTAACTGGCCCAATATCGTTGAACCCCACCGGGAGGATAGGATAGGGTTTCATACCATTTCCCTGGACGCGGGCATAGTTTTTCCCCTTCGCCCCCTCCTTACTGAGGTTTGCCATGCGTTTAGGATTTTGCCCGGCCAAATAACTCCTAACGCCCACCGGTACCT